TAAACAATGAATTGCTGTGGCCAGTCGATGTACAATCGGAAGTTTCATCCCTTCAGACGTGTGGTGACAATCAACCGACACTGAAGGGATGGAGGGGGGGGGGGGGGGGGTGGCTGGGGTTGGTTGGCTTGGACAAGTATCAGGGGATCGGTCCCGTGTCATGCCACACGTGATACAGTACGCCACACGCCACTACACTAGACCACTTCTACTTACCGTATTTACCATTTTATACTTAGTGTTTAGAAAGCACTGCCTCTCTAAAACTGGGCGGAATAAGTGCTAAATGGGTTAGGGGCTGAATCTTAACTACACATTTCAATATAATTGTATTGGCGTATCGAATAGCGTGTTAAACGTAATGAAAGAACTTGACGAAAAGTTGTAAATAAATAGTTAGAGCAGTAAACAACTAGTATTTGTGTTATGATTCACTAATGGTATCGCACGGTTCCCATCCCATCAGTAGAAATCACGAATAAAGAGATTCAAAGACCAAATTTCTCAACAGTGCTCATTGAATATATTTATTTTGTGATAATTAAAGAAAAATAAAATTGAACCTCAAAATTCAATTTTGTGGGCGAAGATAGAGGGTTTCGTCAACACTGGACTGCAATAGGAGAGAAATTAGTATTTAATGAATGCCGATTTGAAAAGGATTAAAGAGCTCAAATGAAATGTCAAGGTTTAGAACCGAACGTTCTCAATGAGGCATTCATCAGTGGAATGGCGAAAAGAGGATTGTGTCGCCCAAAAGGCAAGCTGCTTTATGGGCTATTATGAATGGGGCCTTCATCAAAAAAGCCACAGACACACACACAGATAATAACGGAGAATGGTGTTGCTGCACGGAAAGAAACAACTGAGCGCCGAAGGGAATGAGTCAGTAAAGGAATAGGGCTGACCGGGAGAAAATTTGTCAAAGAATCCAGGGATCAGGATCCGGGATCGAGCTCATAATGGGGAGTCAGTGACAGGAGGGTCCTATTCGCCTTCGGGAGCGGCCTCGTTGAAAAATGGGGTAAGGGACAGTTTAACAATTTGATAAAAACGGAAATGATGATGTCCAAGGGTAGTTATCATCAGTTATTATAATTTATAGTTAGTATATGTAAGTATAAGTAGTCCCAATCCCAACATTCGCTTGAAAGTTGGTAGAGAGGGGGTAATGAAAAAAAGGGCTCACCCAGTACCTCCCATTAGAAGAATTTCATAGTACCGCGAAGCTTTGATGAATTACCCCCCTAGTGCCGCACAACCGGATAGAAGGGAATGGGGTTCAGGATAAGCGGGCCGGTACCTAGGAAGATTCAGCAGCATCGTGTCGACGAAGCCATTTTCTGGGAAGTCATTCCTGAAGAAGAGTTCAACAGCTTCACCCGTGGGGAAGCTGAACAGGAAAGAAATGGGCAGTGAAAATGAAGCAAAGAGTAAGAGCCTATGTGGAAATGTTAACGATGTAGTTTCGAAATAAAACGAAGGCACTTTAGAAGAAGTACACGCCCCTGTAAAGGACAGGACAAAGGGGAATGTAATATTTCGTAAATGTGCATAATTTATGACGACGAAAGCAGCCCAGACAGGGAGCCCTATGTTTGTCCCTTTGCTCATCGATTTGCGCCATGATGATGCTCTTTTGTTTTTATTCTTACCACTTACTTATGAGGGCATTTAATCGATTACTGCTTTGCTGTCAGTAGGCCCAGCTAGAGCGGTTAACAATCTGTGAGCTGCGTTTTTGGATAGGGACGAGTTAGAAGAAACACAAAGAAGAAATGGGCAGAAAATGAAGCTTTCTACGGTTCGAAACGAAGAATCAATAGAGAATGCGATTCAAATTAAATAAAAACGTGCCCCAATGTGTGTGTGTTTGTGTTTCCCCAGCAATCACTCCATGGGTGCACCCCCATGGAATTGATTAGATTGAGAATCGACGAGACATTTACATGCATTTCTTGTCTAGGCAATGAATCGTCAACCGGCCTCATAATGTACCGAACTAATTCTTCCATGAGCCACTAGAATATTCCGGTAAAGCGCTTTGAGAAGACAAAAATAGCCTTTTTTATGAGCTCATTTTTACATCAGGGGCCTTTTTTAGTTTGATAAAAATTTGAGGGGTTCCTTCTGTCTGTAGACCCTCGTGCTTTGTTATAAATGATACCGAAATGAGTTGACAAGAATTCCAAGAAGGCGAGACAAATGAGGAAATCATCGAAATTGAGAAATTAGCAAAGAAATGGAGGATTTAAGATACTCCGCTGGCTTTTAATAGAGGATGCCCTTGATTTTCGGCTAATCCCAAGGCAAGAGTATGAGAGAATGGCATGGGGCGCCACAGGCATGAGTCGAAGATGACGTTATGGTCAGACTCCTGTACAGGAGTCGATCTCATAAAGTCCGTTTGACAAACACTGTTAGGAAACGATAGAGAGCGTCGACTCATATATCCGTCCCAGCATTACAACCAAGAGAATTTTCAATTCAATTGTGAATGGGGCTAAGAATGTGCATAGATGCCGGATACGCGGCGTGTCCTAGAAGGGTTAGATGAGGGAATCCTTCACTTTTGTTTCATTGTACTCTAGTCCTCATGTTTCAAATCTTGTCAGACGAATGGATTCAGTGACTTTTTTCCTCGGACAGGAAAACTGAGTACATAGAATGCAATAACCCATCATATGGGGCGGTAGGAGGCCAAGTGAAGGGTCCTACATGAATCGCGTTTATATGACTCACTATCTCAATGCCCAAGGATTTCGAGAAGTCCAAAAAGATCCGCTCCGAAAGTTTCCGCGGAATAACTTTCATGAGTGGTCTACCGCTCTACGCTGGAACAGGCCTCACACCGCACCCTTCAGCATTATCTTCTTCTTACAAATGCCTAACGCGAATCGGAAGAGCTGAACGATTGAACGGCTGAAAGATAGGAGCTACAGTGGCTTCAGAACCCCTTGCCCACTGCATTTCAGTTACACTCGGTTGGAGAACAGAATTAGAGATCAGTCCGAGAAGATTCTGAGATAACGATTATAGGACGGAATGAACTTCCCAAAAACCGTTAGAGGAGCCTACAGAGAAAGCCAAAGTTCATTTTAGATATTATCGCGGCCTAAGAAGTCAGGTGATCAAGTCACCTTCAGACGGCCTCTGATAAGTCTAAGCGGATTTCCTCTGAAACACTTGCCATTTGTAATCGGGAAACATTCATGATCACATGAACACTGCCTTTAACTATCTCTTGTGCAAAAAGTGTTAGGGGGTAGGTAAACTTAGATTTGCTGAACTTCACCTTCAAAATGTCTTATAGGCTTTTCTGAGGGAGCAATTCTGGGGGGTACCTAGGCCTCCAACCGACCGGAATCACGCGTTCATAAGTTTCCAGCGGTGTTGATAGCTTTTCTTTCTAGTTTCACTCGATCCGTAAGCTGGAGGGACCAAAGCAAATGAAGCTATTATCAAAAGGACGGCCATTTTAGGGGAAGGGGAATATCAGAGGAAAAGCCAAAAAGTGGGATCTTGCTCTGCCCTGAATTCATAGTGTATAGACCACTCTTTGAGCCGTTGGAAGGGATCCAATGTTCCTGGATGGACCTTTTCCCTTTTATAACTTGCTTTATGAAGGAGTTTTTCAGATACTTCGTTCCAAAGGCATAGCTAATAAAATAATGGGACGTTCTGCTCTGGATAGCCTCAAACCACGGCCAGCAACTCTTAGGTAAGGTTCAAAGATGGTGGGTCTATCACGAACAGGATGAAAAAGGGATCGATGTTAAGAATAAGTTGTCAGATAATGCAGATGTCAGCTGAACATGGTCAATACCAATAAAAAAGGTCTGGTCGAAGGAAAAAATGGATAAAAAAAGGAATGTAATTTGTTTTGCCGCTGATGCGGACGAACCACTAGTTTTCGTTAGCTCGGAAGCTCCTCGAAGTGTAAACTTCTACCATGGCCCACAAACAACTAAAACGAGCAAGAAAAAAGGGGATTATATCGATAAAGAGAAATAAATAATAAGGAAAAAGACGTGGATCTGAAGAGAAACATCTTTTGAGATTCGGATATTCTTCAAGAAGAAGAAGAAGAGAATGTGGGAAACGCTGTCAAAGACACAACATCGATGGAGAACGTGCCGATCGGAATGATTGGTGTACGGCTGACGTCAGAGCGTTTCTTCAGGGTGGTCCAGCTCACAATTGCACTACATACTTTGAACTCTACTTGAACGTGACTCCTGCTATATCATAGTGCTTATGAAGGAGTAGAAGAAGTAGTTGCGATTATAATAGTCACAATAACGTGGAATGATTACAACGAACATATAGGTGTAAGCGCATTTCAATCGAAATTAAGTGAATTCATGAATTTCAATCTGAGGTGGAATAAGGACGGGCAATACGGCTAAAGATCAGTTTCCAGCTCCGATTCTGTGGGATTAACCGATCCGCGCTTGACTCGATCATTTACCCTATGAGTTTGATTTTCTAGACGAAGGGGAAGGATAAGTTCCTTTTGAAAGAAATGAACAATCTAGGCTTAGTTAACCTATCTTTAAAAGAAATAACGAAGAAATTATACAAAAGAAACGATGTAGTATACAATTACAATTACTTACTTAGAGTATATAAAAGGGCAGAAAAACCTCCCTAATTGGTCGGCCAGTCTTGGTTTTGGGATGACCCCGCTCACTTCTGCACATTCAAAACCGTAGTGGCGTTTGATTGGGGTTCGATTGGGCGTTTGGTTGGAATTGGCTAATGGGAGCCAGCAGAGTTACAAGTTGGTACAATATCCCTTTATTCTCCAGAGGGATCTGTTACCTGTAAATCTCCCAGAAGGCGGAAAGCTTGGCTGGCCAAGGAGCGAGGGGAAGAGTTATAGAATGGGGTAAATGGGGAGGCTAGGGAGACCATGGTTGTGGTAGTAGGCTTTTTAGCTCTGCACCACCCGAGAGAATGGGAATAAATTTAGAACTTGAGGTTTCAAAGGAAACAGAATGACGCAAAACGTCACCACTGATCTCATAGCAGCTGCTCTGGGTGTCTTTCTGCTTGACGACGACATTTCGGTTGACCGACACCAGCCATCGTCAGTGACTTCCTGTCAACCGTCGTCGCCGGTCATGGCAAAATGGCTAAACGATGACGAAATGCACTCATTCCCGGATGCATGCATATTGTATGTCAATGACACGCGTGCAAAACGACACCCTCATTCACTTGATAACCGAATAGGCGACAACCACTTAACATAAGTGGTATTGGTTGTTTTTTCTGAAAATGGTAAACATATACTCGACATGAATGACTTTCCTGGCGAGATTTTTCCTGTGGGGCCAATCTACGTAGTATATTGATAGCCATTGCTCTTTCATTGACCGAAAAAAACTCTTCTTAGGAGGCTGCAGTTGGAAAAGCCATGACGACGACATGGCTTTTCCTACGAGAAAGGAGAAGGACCCCATTTCCGTAACCTGATCTCTCTTCCGTCATGCCATCGGATCACTACCCTTTTTGTTTCTCTAGGCAACTCCCAAGACTATCAAGAAGTTATGGCCTTTGTGTATGGGGTTGGAGATGAAACTTCGCTCAGTGACTACCGGAAATGTCGTTTTCTGTATGAAGAGAAATCCAGAATCACTCAGGAATGCCTACAATGAGGAAACCATCAAGGAAGACTCGAAACAGAAAAAAATCGGTCCCTTATCTTAGTTAAGGGTATGAGTACTTTTGTTACAATGGGGATCACCTTACTTTTGCACTAAGCTAGTAACCGTTGTTCTTGGTGAAGTATGTGGAGATAGCGTAAAGAATGGAGGAGATAAGAACCAACGATTTCTAATTCGAAAGGGCAGTTGAGCTAAAAGAAGTGGTTTATGACAGCAAGCGGTAGTATTTTACTCGGTACTCAGTGAAAGGACATAGCGCGTGTGCCCCGGAAGTGCAGCGCTCACAGGATCAAGAGTACCGGACACNAGCTAAAAGAAGTGGTTTATGACAGCAAGCTATACAGCGGTAGTATTTTACTCGGTACTTAGTAAAAGGACATAGCCGTGTGCCCCGGAAGTGCAGCGCTCACAGGATCAAGAGTACCGGACACGTCCTCTTGATCCTGTGAGCACTGCACTTCCGGGGTACACCCGTTCTGGTCTACTGGGCTTTTAGCACTTCGAGCGCTATTCCTGGCCTATTTTGAGAAGGGTAAAAATCCTTTTTTGCTTCGTTTGATTTTAAAGTCGATGCACCCGGGTGCCTTCCCCTAGCCATCTACGTAACCGGAAGAGTGGAATCCTCCCCGAAAAATGTGAAATTCTGAGCAAACCATGAACGGCTACCTTGGAGGAATCCTAAGCCAACTATGAACGCAGACAACTTTATCATCAATACGTTGGCGATGGTGTTCTCACTGAGCAATGGGGCCATAAAAAAGTGGGGATAATGATTTTGAGATACTTGGAAAAAATTTTCGATTGGTAATCAAAATAGTCTCAACCCATTCTAATGATTCGTTCAAAATTGGGAAAAAACGAAGGATAGGCAGTACTGCCCAAATGGCATCACTTGCCCTACCAAAAAAGAGGTCGTGAGCTCCAAACTAAAGAGGCGGGGTCATGGGGTCTGCATGGTACATTGTGTACTTAGTTCCTTGTCGACGGGGTGTCTTTGGAAGCTCCCACGTCAATACACTGAGATTAATTGGCTCTCGGGCATGTCGACGTAACAACACGACATAGATTGATGGATCATGTACATCTGCATATGCTACATATTCTTCTCCTGGTCAAAGCCTAAAAGCCAAGATTTGTAGTTGATTGACCCTGTTTCAAGACACGCCCTGCACTTGACTTTCATTTGGAATTGTAAGGGCGTTTTGAATGCGTATAAGGGCCACACAATGTCTTTCTGTGGCCAACTGATGTACACTGTTCTCTTACACTCCCAGACCAAGAGTGTTGCCAATTAGGTTATCTCAGATCCCTGGGAAGAAAGGCCTGGTTGGTCTGGATGAATATTGACTGGATTAACTGACTGGACTGGATTAGATCCCGTAGAGCTACATGTCACACTTTTCAGAACATTTCCAGCTACTCGTCAGAGTAATGGTATAACTCATGAAGTTCAGCGCGCCTCAGAGCCCGAGAAAATTGCATGAAAGACCAAATACTCCCACCCATTTTAAAGGGGAAGAGACGCCCTGGAAAATCAAGTGCCAGCGGACAGAAGTCTCCAAAAATGCCAGATGCAGAAGAAAGAAGATGGGACGTGGAAACTCAGAGGATGTAAGAGGTGATAAGCTCAAACAAGGTTTTGGAGCCGATAGAAAAGTAAGCAGAATCTAAAATGCCATAGTGCCATATANTAAACCGTCCAAAAGCGATCGAAATTTCCGCCTTGGACGAAACGTCGGCGACCTTTCTGTTGAAAAATTCCGTTTACATAGACTCGTTATTTTCTTTATAAGCAACCAGCTATAAGATAAACAACGTGGTGAAGGATTAAGGAAGCGCCGACAGCTCTTAACTTCTCAAAAGTCAATGGCAGAGACTATGCCATGGACTTTATATTGATTCCAGTTCACCGACACTTACCTACATGGGTAACAATTGATGGTAACAACTGGGTTAGGTACTCGATAGCGACCTGTAAGAGTTGGGTTATTCGCTAAATGGGCTAAAAAGGGGATGGGGGCAAAGGTCAGTTGATGACTTTCCTTGACTCACTGAAGTTATCACCAATAGCTGTACGGAGTGGATAACCCACAGTGATTTCAGAAGGGACCAGACCGATCTCAAGCTGCAGCCTTGATGGATGTGATGTTCATCACAACTTTTCTACACTTTTAAATAGTAATAGAAGTAATTCATCCCAAAATCAGAGCAGAATTGAAAAGTTGACTTTAAGAATTCAGAAGAGTGGGAGAGGCAGATGGGAAAGAGACAAGGGCAGAGACCGAATATAACCTCGTTCCAAATTGCCCCGTCAGATGTGTGTGATGAGAAGAGCTACTCTGCAAAAACGACGAATGTATCGCCAAATGGACGTGAACGGCAGATAATGCAACATTTGCTGTTAGACNCAAACGTTCATTGAGAGCCCAACGTAGATCGATATAATGCCCTTCGTCTGTGAAATATGGGCTTACTTAGTCATGAAAATCGACCTATCATTTATCACCAGAAGCCTAATTTGCCTGGGTGAATTGGACCCGAGTGGTTGCACCTCCTAGTAGCCGTAGGTGCCCATGGAATACATGAGGAGCTCAGCGAGCGTATTCCATGCAAAGTCTAGTTGCTGAGCCATCATAAATTGCACATAAATTGAATGCCAGCGGTTTCTTCACGAACGAAATGAATGGGGAAATCGCTACGGAGAAATGGCTCGGATCAATGCTAATTATTCTAAAAATGGTACCGGCTGAAGAGTGAAAGAAACCCTATCCTTGGGTGATCGTGGTCCGCAAGTTTTGGGCCAAATTTGACGTAAACTAGAATGAAATAACAAACATATAAGTAAACATGAAACAATGGTAGTATCCAGATGTTACAATTCAGATGGCCGTCCGATGAGTATTGTTGAATTGACAGCTCACTGGTGACGATGCCTATGAACAGGTTGTATTTGATGGATTTTATCACAGATTCCGATAACAGAGCTCCTGCAGTTGTCACATTTGTCCATTGTGCGGTTTGATCGGTGAAAGGATTCAAGGAAGAATCTCATGAAAATGATTTCCCCCATAGGTGAACCTCTGACCCACAAGAATAGCATATAGGACACTGCCGGGTCAAAAAACAGCCTCAACAGGGCGAAATAAGGGCTCGAACACCGGCTTGGCCGACGTCGACCTAAACACCCAAAAGTGCCCGTGATATGACGTCCTTGTTAAGGTTGCACCATTCTCAATGGAGCGCTTATGTTGGAAATCCAAACGGCTAGTCATGACCAAACGACAGTGGAAGACAGTTCAAGACGGTTTTAGCTTATCATTTCCAGCCCTATGCTCTTTAGTAAAGCTAGCTGCCAACTAATTGGGAAAACTACCATGTCTTTTGCATGAAAACATCAAAAAGGCAGAATAGTCTGAGACGAGACATCCTTCTTGACGGCTCCATGTTATTTTGAGACATCCATGGAGAGACATTGACGAAGAAGGTCAGGCTTGAATGTCAGTCATTCATATGAAAATAGACTTCGTGACAAGGGATCTTTATAAAGTACTCTTCTAAGGAATTCAAAAAACGTTTCAAAACTGACACTGGCTCAGTTCACAGAATCAAAAATGCAGTTTGGGAGCTAGGGCTCAACAGCGAACTCATGATGGAATAAAATGCAATCTACGCGAAACCCTGGTCACTAGACTGTACTGCATTACTATTTCTGTCCCCTCCCCCCTACGTGGAGCTAGAGCTGAATTACCCTTCGGCGTAAGACGAGGTGTGTTGTCCGTGACTGTTCCACCTCTGTAACATAATTCAGAGCTGATATCACTGGAATAGTTTGGAAGGGTACCGTACCTGTTCAGCTTTTGTATCGGAATAGGGAGGCAATGTGAGGGGTGGGGGAGGGAGGGGAA